GTCACTTGGTAGCTCAGTCAACATTTTTGTTCTAAAAACTTGAATAAAAATAGTTTATTCCAAATGAGCTCCAGTAAGTAGAAGAACTTAAGGAATTTAAGAAAATAAAAAATCTTGTGGGCTGAAATCATCTTGAGCATTTAAAATATGGGTTTGGGTGATACTTTCAATACATTTCTAAAAAAGTCATTTTCAATCCCTTATTTAACTTCAGGGAAGACTACGAGGGAGCAATGACAGTTCTAAAATGTTTTTGCTGGACTTGGCTCAGATTCTGTTATCACTTTTGCTGTTTCTCTCAAACTCCAGGTCATTGAAGGTTTCTGACTCTTTTATTGCTGATCTCCATTCCTTTCCCCTGCCACATCCTTCTGTGGCTTCTCGTGCCCTTCCCATGTCACCTCCTGGTGCAGGTGCTGGGACATAAGTGATTGGGCACTCTGTGTGGATTCTTGCCGACCTTGTGCAGGGCTCTAACAGATACCTCTTATACCATCAGCAGTGTTTTCTCTTGGAAGTAGTTTCAGTTCTTGCTGTTTCCACAAGTCTCATCTTGCCCACGTACTAGATGAATGGTACAAGAACCAGACAGGCAGCAAAAAGTCAGCTAAAAAATTCAGCACAGAACATAGGGAGAAAGCCTATTGTGCATAGTGTTTCATTCTTAAAGGGATTTCTTACTAGGGTAGTGCCTACTCCTTATCTCTAAATTGCCTCTTCCTTCCGAGTTATAGTTTATCATTTTAATAGTATCTCAGAAACAAAAGTGTCCTTTTCTGTTAATATTACCTTGTAATTAATTGGCTGATTAATTTAATTGTTGTGTATTAAAAATGCAATATTTAAAGAGTTAATCCTGTTGGGTTTATTATACTCCCTCCCCAAACAGCAGTCCTCTGTATCTCCCCCAACACCCCCATTTCTCCTGTTTTGGAAATAACCACTTTCACCTCTTTTGGCTGATTCTTTGATATTTACCTCCATGTCGTTCAATAAGATGCCGGATTGTTCAGGGTTGGTCTTCCCACTACAGGATTTAGCTGTCCTCGCTCCTTCCCCACCCCTCATACACATGCTCCCTTCCCCAAATCCTGTGTTTCCAGTGTAATTAATATCATAGCATTGGTTAAATTAATATTGTTCATTTATATTGTTATATCTATGTTTGTCATTAAGAGCCAAGCCTCGTAGTCAAGCCATGATTATGTTATTATTTCCGTACAACATGTTAGTTTTTCTTTGAGTTAATGATTGTCTTATTTTTTGTTTGTTTCTTCCCATTTGCTTGGTTTTCTATGTATTTACCCCCAAACTCTTTGAAAGCTGTTTACATCTCCTTTCAAGATGCTCAGATACATCAGGTTTTCTCTCAATTTCATCTTCCTGGAGCAGCTGTCTCCCAGGCGGGCAGAGGTGCCCAGGTTGGCCTCCCTACAAGGTGCACACCTGGCTGCTGGGGCCGCCCTTCTCCGTCATTCTACACATTCCCTGTGCTTCTCTCTGGTGTTGGCTCGTCTGTCTTCCTCTTTCTGGATTTACTACCTCTTTTTGAAGCATACGTTACATACTCTAGTAACTTCCAGAGAATACGGTACGTGGGAGGTGAATTTTTTTGAGACTCTGCATGTCTGAAAATGTCCTTATTGTATGTGACTTTTTGTTTCCTTCCACTTTCTGGAAGCTTGTAGGATCTTGTCTTTTTTCCCAGGCTTCTAAATTTCATAATGATGTGTCTTGATGTGGGTCGATTTGTATCCAGTGTCTTGGGCATTTTATGTCCTTTCACTGTGGAAACTCATGCCCCCTTTAGTTTGTGGTAGTTTTCTTGAATTTTTTAACTGATGATTTTCTACCTTTCATTTCTCTCTCTCTGGAGTTTCTGCTACTTGGATATTGGGCCTCCTGAAGTGCACTTTTATTTTCTGCATCTTCTCGTCTTTTTTGCTCTACTTCCTGGGAGATTTCTTCAGCTTTATATCTCATCCCATCCCTTTTATTAAGCTTTTCCTTTCTTCTATCACATTTTTAATTTTCTTTCCTTATGAATGCCCTTTTTCTAATACTATACAGTACTTATTTCATGGCTGCAATAAATTCTCTTAATTCTCAGTGTTTGTATGTTTGATATTTTTTGAAGTTTTCTGCTCCTTGTGTGGTCACTGTCCAACAAGTTGCTTGTTTCTATTGATTTTGGTCTCTCAGTTTTGCATTAGAAGCTTTCTAAAGATGCCTGGAAGTCCTTGCTTCGACCCCTAGGAGTAGGGGCTGGAATGCTAATTGGAAGCTCTGAGCACACACCTAGGGCCTGCCAGCCGTGTGCTTCACTGTAGGCTGGTCATGGCAGTCCTCCCGTGTCAGTGTCCCTAGGCCTCTTTTCTTCAGTCTCCTGCCTGGAGGGTGAAAGCCTGGCTGCCATCGTTCTGGGAACCAAATTGGGGAGCTGGCAGGTGGTCTCAGTGTCTTCTCTGCGCATGTTCGTCCAGTCCCACTCATGTGCCATCAGCCGTGCCTTTCCTTCCCCACCCTGCACCCTCCTAGTCCAGAGGCCCTCTCTTTTACTCTCTCTAGAAAATAAACTCCAATTATTCTTAGATAGGCGTCCAGCCAGGCCTGCTTAGTGCAGCATGTTACCCCATAGCCTTTTGGGGTTTCTAGGGGGTAAGATGAGGGGGGTCTCATTTTTCCCCACTGCTGACTTAGGACTCATGTCTGCTGTGTCGCTTGCCACTCTCCTATCTGCGTTCTACCTTCCAATACTTTACAGCTTTTGTCTCCTGTTTTATTCTCCCTGTTCTTGTTGATTTATGCATTAAAAAAAATCCTTTCACTGTCTTTTAATGGGGTTTGAGAGGAAGCAAAGGTGGCCACATGCATTCAAGCTTCCATTTTTACCTGAAAGCCTCACCATTGCTGCTTATTTATTTACTGAATCCCTAGGGGTCTGAATTTTTTTAAGGGTTTATGATAAGTACTCCAAAATGTACTTCAGAGAAAGAATGACATACTGCAACTCTTGGATTAAGAAAATTCAATTATTCATGTTTTTTTTTTTTTTTTTTAAACCAAGCCCCTTCAAAAGATTTAGTTCCTCACCCACAGCTTCTTTCCTCTTCTGCTGCCTCTGCCTTCCCTCCTTCCTGCTCCAGCTCTCACTGTGTTGTCCAGTCAAACTGAAGTTCTGCACGGAGCAATCACAGGAGACATCAGGTTGCAGAGAATGAGGTAGTTATGGGAAGGCAGGCAATGAGGGAGGCGGGTTTGATGTAGCCTGTCATGTCAGATCAATGTACTGTTTTCATCAAGACTTCTGCCACTGTCCCTACCCGCTTCTTACCTGCTTGGAATCAGAGCAGTGATTCTCTTTAAGGCTATCATTTTCTTCAAGCCCTGTGGAAGCTACATACATGACTTGACTGGCTCCAGCATCACTGGTTTTGATTGTCTTTTTAAAGGGGAGTGTGCCTTCAACTTTCTAGTCAGCTACAAAGAGAGGGATCTCAAGAGCAGCTATTCGATTCCAGAAGCGGGATGAAACTCAAAAGCAAGTTTGAGAGAATGGCTGCCTCTGTGATGGGTTTCCAGCAGTTCTGAGCTTGCCCTCCAATATTCTTCCTTCAGATATCTTCTCTAATGACTTCCAAACTTGAATTTCACCAGAAACCATATTATTTTTTCCTGAAATTCTACCTTCCTGAGTTCAGAATTAGTAGAGAGAGAGATGAAGGAGCCAAGCATATGGAGATCAAAATCTAACCTCCGTTATTGACTTTTACTGCTAAAGACTTTGAAAAACGTCATGTTAGGTCTGCTGGCCAGTGTGGGTATGTTGGTATGTTAATATTTTGACCCTGAATTTGACATCTTAGCCACTCATTGACCAAAGTGGACAACCACAGGCCACTCCATGGGTTTTTAACTCTCTAAAACTTACAGCAAGAAAGAGAATAATAGCTCCTACAAAGGAGTTCGTATGGGGCCTGAAGGAAGTGTTACTCTAATGGAAGTTCCTCCCCAGGGGTACACAAGATGTGGAGAAATGTGTTCCATAATATAAGGTGACATCAGTTCCCCTTAAGACACCCCATCAAATTATAGCAACTGCTCAGAAAAAATACTATGTTAGATCAGCTTGTATGGCACATTTAGATTTCAGAAACATCAAAATTGTTTTCCCATTTTAGAAGTGAGGTCCGTGCAAGGGTTCTAAGTTATTAATCTTTTGCTAGCAGCCTTCTCTAAGGCTGGGACTAGATGGAGAGCACATCCTCCCCTGGGATGGTGAGCCCCTACTGTAATCCCAGCCCTGCTACAGACTAGCTGGGAGTCCTCGGCTCCACTGAGCCTCTGTGCCTGTTTTTCGTGTGTTCAACAAGGAGTGGGAGACCAGCTAAACTGATAAAAAGGATGGGGGGTAAGACCTGAACTACCATAGCTAATTAGTTTCAGAGTTGGGCCTAAAACTCAGGCATCTCCCTTCTCTAGTCTCATGTGTTTTCTACAAGCTCCATTTTCGATTGACTTGAATTGAATTTAGACAAAATAGTTTAGTTACAGTACAGAAGTGATCGTCTCTGTTTATTCATTCATTCGACAGATATCAGTTGAGCATCTACTTTTATGCCACATATGGTGCTATGCAGTAAGGATGAATAAGACATGTTCTTGTGTCTACAGGAGCGCACACCCTGTGTCCTTCTGTGTTTGCAGCTGTGAGTGACCACCACCACCACCACCCTTTGTTTACAGCCTCACTTGAAGGGCTTCAAACTGATCCCTGGAAGAGACCCAAACCTCCTTGACTGCTTTGAAACCATCAGCCCTCTTTGCTTTCCCTGAGACCTGGAATAATGCCCCCTCAGTTGATGTGACCCACCTCTGAGACTTGGCTCTTACCAGCCTATCACACAAGCTCTTCAAGAGCCTCAAGAGAAGAAATGCAGAGTAAGGTCCAGAACCATACAGTGGCCTCATTATGTTTTTTGTTGTTGTTCTCTTTATAGGGCTCTTAAGCTGGTATTACTATGTAACCATGCCAATGCCAGCCTCCACCTTCACAATTGCAGTGGGATGCTGGACAGAAATGAAGCCGGAGACGTGCTCATCAAATGATCTGGCAACAGAGGGACCCTTCCCACCTTCCGAGGCTGACTTCAGGTTTGTGTTTGGGAACTTGCTTAGAAACAAATCCTTGAGGAAGTGGTATGATGCATTTCTTCCAAGCACTGGGAATGTGAGTCATCCCTGCTGAGAAACTAAACCAAAATAGGATTAATCAAAGCAGGGAAGGCCCTACTGGGAAGGAAAGAGAATTGAGAGGCAGAAATGCGAGCAAACGCAGAAAGAGAAAAGAAAATAAGTATAAATGAAATCCTCTGTAAAGTCAAGTGAAATATTTGTATGTGTTTGGTTATATTAAAGGGATACTCGGATTCAACACGTTCCCTTGTTCTACACCTTTTAACCTTGGTTTTCAGTGCTTATCTGGTCTAAAACCTAACTTAATAGAAAGAGACTGCTCATCTGATTGAGCATTTTATAGGCTACTCTGCTATTTTGGTTCCAATGACGCTGTTAGTGGAGCGTTGTAGGGACGGCCTCCCTCTGCAGAGCTAGTCAGCCTCTTTAGGAGCACAGGACACAAGGAGCTGTTGGGTCAGTGCTTTGTAACGTCAGGAGTGATTTCTTCTTTTTTGGTATGGACTGGATAAAATCAGTTTGAAGTTTTTAAAAATTAGTGTAGGCCGTTGGGTGTTCACTTGCAGCCTCCCCAGATGTTCAACTGATTCTAGCTTTCAGAGCTAAGAGGGAGAAGGGGATTGCACAGAAGAGGCACAGAATTGCATATCATGCTTCATTCCTAGGACTTTTACACCCAGCTCAAATGAATTATTTTTCCTGTTTATAGAAAGTCACTAAATCAGTACCTTCTGGTGGGGAAAGACCAGAGTCATGCTACATACAGGTGGCTGGTTCATCCTTGAAAACCAACCTAGATGTACTCTCAGTGCAGATTCCTTTTGTGTTGGTTTTATTCTTCCATGCTGCTTTTACTCAACGCAGTGGCTGCAGTGGTTGGTATCTTTAGGAGACAAAGCCATTTGGTCTCTCTTCTGACAGGCATGTCTTATTGCCTACATTTTGCTTTTTTTGGAGGAAGGGAAAGTAATTTCTACTTTTTGTCTGTTTTGGACTATCAATCGTAGATTGCTTGTTAGATATTACTTAATACTCTTGAGAGAAGAAGGGAATTGTGGACAGAAGTGACTTTCATGTGGGAACATTTCATTGCATGTGAGACCCTCTAGTGCTCTCTGCCCCTGCATTGGGATCAAAGAATAGGCTTCATTTTGCAGTTATGGGCAGCCTAAATTTCTGAGTGAGCAGGACAGGTGCTCTGGAGAGTCATTTGGATCCTCAGAGGACTAGGTATGAGCAAGAAATAAGCTTTTTGTGTGTTAAGTCGTTGAAACTCTGGGGTTGTTTGGTACTGCAGTGCATCCTAGCCCTGGCCTATCCTGAGTTGATACAGAAGCCATTGGTTGTTTGAAGTCAGGGAAAGTCTTGATCCGAATACCATCTCATTTAGCCTGAGGATAAGCCTGTGCAGTAGATTGGCTTTGTTATCCTTGTTTCGTAGGTAAGGATACTGAGACTCAAACAGCAGTTTGTTCAAAGGTGCTCCAGGAACCACACTCTGACCTTCACTGACTGAGAGAACTGATATCCTGATTATCATTTTAGGGGACAAAGAACCTGAAAAATATGCAAGCTGCAAGCACGTGGAGGTGGTTGGGAGTGGGGGGTTATGGACAAATACTGAAGCACAGTAGAGCTTAGGAAGGGAGAGAAGGGTGGAGAATGTAAGTGAACCAGGAAAGAAAAATGTGAAAGAAAAGGCTCAGAAGGAGAGAAGGGTGGAGAATGTAAGTGAACCAGGAAAGAAAAATGTGAAAGAAAAGGCTCAGAAGCCTCGAAGAGTAGTAAAACCCATGTGAGAATCACACAAGAAAAAGTGTGTGGGTAAGAGATGCTTCCAAGGAGTAGAATCGAAGAAATTTAAGAAAGAAAGCATTCAGGAGACTGGGGGGACATCTGACCTCTAGTACTGTAACAAATAGCACTTGAAAAATGTAAACGAGATCTATCAGCCCTGTGATTTATACTGAAGAAGATAGTAGAAGAATAAGATGCAGTCCTAAGACACCGCATCAGACATTCATGTCTAGAGAATGTGCACTAACACTGAGGCTGACTCAGGAACGTATTCAGTAACCAGCAACAAACAAAAAAAGCAAAATAAGGATACAAAACTAGCTATGCAAATGCATATTTCTTTAGAATGAGAAAATAAACTACAAAAAATTATAAATTTAAAAAAGCCGACAAACGCAACATTTAGAATAGTGACGTTAATAATAACTATAGCAACTGTCTGGCACATGTCTGTAATACTCTCCCTAATTTGTTTTGGCTGTATACTCTTTGATCACCTTGGCATGTGATCATTGTCTAATATTACTTATTAAAAGAACAGAAATATAGTGAGAAAAAAACCCAAACAAACGGTAGTCTGTTCGTATTCATGTATTCATACACCTGCTGAGTAATGTACCTGGATTCACATCCAGTCCAGACCTCTAGAGAGGTGATTCAGAATATTACCTGAGGACTTTTAAAAACTGTACATATTATCCATGCCTCACCTCTGGAGTCTGATCCACCTTCCTACTCAGAGAGTCACTGCTGTGATTGAGCCACTGTTAAGACTGGAGTGTGTTGTGTTAGAACAGAAGACAGAAGCTGAGAGCATTGCCTTCGAGCCTGAAGTTGCTGTCCTTACTGGTTGGATGTGGTTCTGTGCACAAAGCCACACTCTCCTTATCTGAAGACTTTGCACATGGGTTCTTGGCTTCTTCATGGTGAAGAAGCTCTCTGCTCTTCCCCTAAAGCCTCAGGGTTGGTTGATTGTTAGAGCAGCTGTGCTGTGCGGTTGAGAAACTCGTGCCTTAAGAAGGTTAGGGGAAGGGAGGAAAGTTGTTGGGTGGACAGCAACTGCTTGCTACGTGCCCCTCCTCCCTGCACAGAAGCAACTGAAATGGCTTCTCCCTTTTCTTGCACAGTTGCTGTGAAAGGGAGAGGGTATGGCCCTGTCCAGTGGGGAGCCTGGGAGAGATGCTGTCTCAAATTACTGCTGGGCTTTAGGAGAAGGGGTAAATACTACTCCTCTCCTGTCGTCCTGAGTTCAAACCAGGTGAAGAACAGACAGAAGGTGATCAAGTAAAGTTTTCATTATTGACAGAAGCTGGACTGAGGATACTTAGGTACGTGGTCTCAGTGGGCTTTCTAATACTGCAAAATTTGCCAACCCAGTTACCCACCCGGCTAGACAGCTGGTGGCCTCCACAGCACAGATGCACAGTCTGCCTAATACAGGTCAGAGAGCAGGCCCAGAAGTGCTCCCTCTGTGGGCAAGCAGATTCAGAAAGAGAAAGCCTAGGGTGGCCAAGCCAGTCAGGTAAGCTGGGGAGAGAGGTCAAGCATGCAGTGGAAGGAGGTCCTTTTAATTCCATGAAAGCATTTGGCCACAGGGAAATCTTTATGATTATGAATTATGTTCAGCCCCTCAAGGCCTTTGTTGGGGCCATACAGTTTAAGCGCAGCATGGAAACCTGGATAAAGACCAGAGGAACTCAGCAAAAATGATTGCACTACAAAGCAGAAGAAAAGGCATTGAGGATGTTCATTATAAAGAAGAGCGGACTTGGTGGGGGAGGAGGTCTTCTTCAGAGTTGTAAAATACATGCAAATTTGCCTTGAAAGGAAGAAAAATCATCTCTGATTTGATGCTGGGTCTGTATGACTTTACAGAAGTACAATATTCCCTCGCCTCTGCAGAAACAAGGCTGTTGTATGAAGAGGGACTCGTGGTGAGCTGTGCCAGAAGAAACCTTAGAAACCATTTAAAATTGTTTTTGTTTATTTTTAAAGTGTGATTAACACATAACAAAATGCGCAGATCTGAAGTGTTTGGCTTGATGAGTTTTTGATGATTGTATGCACCTAAAGCAGATAGAGAACATCCCATCACCCCAGTAAGTGCCCCCTAACCTCTTTCCAATCAGTTCCTTTCCTCCTCACTTGCCTCAGGTCGGCTAGCCAGTCTGAGAAAAGCCACCGAAGCCTGTTTCGTGACCCGTATGTGGGGACCGACAAGTGGCTCCCCGATGCCGTTTTCATTCCCATTGGGAGCCTTAGCAGTCTCACTTTCCCATCGCTTGATTGCCTTAAAGTCCTGCATTTTCTTCCAGGCTTTGATTATGAAAAACGGTGCTAATTCACACAACTGGAATCGTTTTTATTACCTGAGCTAGTGGCATTTATGCCCAGAAAGAATCTAACTCATCTCTGTCCTTGAACACGTTCCCTTTTTTGGTGTGTCTTCGGCTACCTCAACTTTGTTTCTAACCTTTGGGTTCTTGGCTGCAAGAAATAATCTTGCCCCATGGTGCGTTTATAGAGAGGCTAATGAAATGCCTCTTTGCAAAATTGTGTTGTGATAGATGGAATTTAAACTTACTTCCCAACTTTGTCCAGAACATGCCTGCACACCTCCATTTCTCAATTCTTCTCAATTTCTTAATGTGCTCTGAAAGCTTTTTGATAGAGAATATATGAGCTTAAATTACTGTAGCACATTATATACCTGTGTTAAACACATTAGAGAAAGGTATCATGGTGAGTAATTCAATAAATGGTCTTTTTCATTTTGTGAGCCCTTTGTTTAAATCGATGCACCAGCACTGTACTTGTCATTAGGTGGACACTGAAGCCTTTTCAGTTAGTGTTTACCAAAAGACACCTTTTACTCACTCTCCCCACAAAGCAAGGTTATCAGTCCAGGGACTGTGACCAGGTTCGGTGTTGGTAATTATATTCTTCTGTCACCTTTTCCTGGCAGTTTATAGATCCCCATGTGTTTTTCTTACCCTCAGCTGTGGTGAAACGTCATCAGAGGTGGAAGCTGTGTTCTGTGTACTGTGCTGGTGGTGGGCTAGGCTGATTTACATAGCCCTGTACATCTCCCAGGTGCTGGCTTTGGATGGTGAAAGGCACTTCTTAAATTTGGAGAGGACTTACTGTTGTAGTAGTCTGCCCATAGTGGGACAGGCCAGCATCTTAAGACTTCACATTCACTGTGAATCAGACAAGCACCTATAGTAATTTAAAATTAGAAGAGCTTTCCATTGTGTTTCAATAAAGGACATGTTAATAGGTTAAAAAAAAAAAAGTTCCCTTTGATGTAGGTTTCTTTGGATAGATAAGTTCTCTTGAGGCCTGAGTCAGGCTCTAGGAATTCTCTTTCAGCTCCACCTTCCACGAATAACTAGCAGTGGTCAGATGGTGAGGGCTGGTCTCTGATCTGTTTCCTTAAAAGGGTGACTCAGTTAAATTTGTATTGAAAGTGGAGTGAGAAAGATATATCAAAAGTGCCAAACCTTTTGATGGGCTTTGTAAAGAACACCTAAATTACTTTTCAGTAAAATGGTTTGTGTTCTTTTGCAAAAGTTTGAACCTATAACTGTCACTTGGTTCATTGTTCTACCTCAATCCGAATCTTTTAGTCTAGGAAGTTCAAGGATAAGATCTTTAATTTGGCTACATCGTCCTTTCCTTTCTGAGTAATGAATCATCCCTGATTTGGAGACTTTTCCTATGATGATACTTGACAGCACATTACTGAAGAAAGAAATTATTTTTATTTTGATGGGAAGTTGTTTTATTGTTTTGAGTCTTGGAATTTTTCTCCTCAGTTTGTTCTAAAATGAGATTTTACTACTTTTACTTAGCTTAGATTGAAGCTACTCAATTGATTCAAGCACATCAATAAGTATTTTGACCTATAATTTTTCACTGCTACCCAGACACAGACAAGCCAAGAGTTCACATGAACAGTCTTTGCTGTGAGCCTGTCTGAACCAACTAAAAGTTGTCCATGTCTGCAAGAGTTCCTCTCTTCCATGGCAAGAGGAATAAATATGATTTACTGTTACACGCATCTGTTTATTTCATGTTGTTCCCCAGGTATGCTGGTGTTTGTGGTCACATGGAATACCCCTGCCGCTTCCAGAACGCTTCTGCCACCACCCAGGAGATCATTCCTTATCGGGTCTTTGCCCCGACGTGCCTCAGGGGCGCCTGCCAGGAGACCCTCTTGTGGCTTATCCCTCCTTGCCTCTCAGCAGCACATTCTGTCCTGGGAACACACCCGTTCTCCCGGCTGGATGTACTCATCGTCCCTGCCAACTTTCCCAGTCTGGGGATGGCCAGGTATGTTGTTCCGTTGTGGCACTTGGGGTACCTGCTTTGGAAATTCTTGGACCATTTCTTGCTTTCCTTGAGCTCTGTTACAGCTGTCATCGGATTAGGATGTCAGGGCCACGGATGCTCATGATTGGATATTGCATTACTGCCTTGAGGGATAGTTCTCACGTGGACTCCACCATGCATGAGCCTGTTGGTGTCACAGGCTCAATTCAGACTGCCTTGAAAAGAGAGAGCTCAAGTTGTGGCTGGGATTGAGAATATGTTGCGCCCTGAGAGCGGTGTGTTTGATCACACTGATCAGTGGCTGTTGTTGGCATGAGAGACGAGAGTGTAATGCTGAGGAGCCCAAAGTCACAGTGTCAGGCCAGCCGAGCACAGGCTGCTTGCCTAATCCTGACCAGCTGTCTCATCCTTTCTCACCATTGGTCACAAAGGCAACAACTTGAGAGACCCTATGTCAGAGAGACAGTGGATGGATCAGTTTAAATCCATCCCTGCTGCTAGAAAAACAGCTCCAAGCAGATGGCTTACTTTCTGTGGGGATGCGGGAGTCACTTGTCTTGCTACTATTTTTAATACAATGAAGGAATTATTGTTATTGGGTCCTGGTTAGTTCCTACAGAAAATCAAGACCTGCAAATTGAACCTTTCCTCTGTATATTATTTACAGCTAAAATCCATTCATTAATGCCGTTATTCATTCAGTAATGGGTAGCTCTATTCCACTGAGAAAAGTAGGGAATGTACTCGGGATTTTACTTGGTTATATTTCTACTTGAAAATCTTAATCATTAACAGTGAATACACTTGACTAAGGATGGGAAAAATAAGCTCATCAAAACATGCGACTTCAAGTTTTTCCCTATTAGTCAAGGAATTTCCTGCTGCCAATTAATTTCCATGCTTTGGAACAGCTGTCATTTGTGGTGTTTTCCCTGAAAACTGCACACATTCTTAGTAAAACCCATGAGTAGAAAAGAACTGACCAGAACATTTGCTTTTGATCTTTGCTACATACATATACTTTTAAAAAGCTGTCTGGCTTGCTTAGTCCTTGAGGAGGTCTGAGAAAGTCATTTAGACTGATTTTTATCCTATATTTATGAAGATAATGGGAATGTAGAAACTAGGATAATTATATATATTTGGTTACATGCTTCATATAATTGTTATGGGTGGCTATATATAGAACTTGTCTTAACAAGGGGGCTTCTTTGGTCCCTTTGATGAGTCTCCTGGACTTAATTTAAGCAGAATTATTGGTGAAGAAAGGGTTGTTCGTTAAATGTTTCTCATTTGTACACAGTCTTGAGGGGCCATATTTATTTGAGAGTCTGTAGCACTTTATGAGAGTTGAAGTTTTTCAGGGCATGTTTGCTAACAGTTCCAAATTCTGGCCTGAGGGAACCAAAGTCAGAGTATTTTTCAGAAGTACACAGGACCTTATTTTCCATAGCCCCTTCCTGACATTAGTCTGCCAAAACCAGAATTTGTCGACCTGCAGGCCATTCTGTAAGGCTTTTCTTTTCAAGTTTGCATGCCCAAGCAGGTAGGGTGTATGTTTGCTGCTTTTTGAGATATTTAAAGTGATTTAAACATGCTTAACTCTGTATTTTTAAAGTAATAAGTGTAAGTATCCTAAGGCCAAGTGGTACTGGGCACAAATGTCAAAAAATGTGATGGTGATAATAACACAAGACTGCTTTTATGCTTAAATACAGGAGAACCATATATTTAAAATTTTGTGGTTGGTTGTCAAATATCCTTTTGTTGTTGTTGTTAGAATGTGTACATAAAGTCTGCCTGGGTCTAGATGTTTTCCTGGGATTAGTTACTATTCCCTTTATTTGAGCAGTGGAAGGGTGACTGTGGTATCTTCCACTGCCAGTTGGGATGGGGAAAGGGGAACGCTCTGTTTTTCCAAACTCTGACTTAAATTGATTCCACTTGCTTGGCTTGACTCCATCAGGATCCCAACACCTTGAGCCACATGCAGCAGAGGGGGGTGTACGACTCAGTGGGCAACGGGAGCCCTGCTGCTTTATTTATGGTCAAGGCTTTGCTGGAGGTTCTGGAAAGCAAAGCTGGAACAGAAACAACAGTCATGTAGGTCAACTTCTATACCCTAAACAGAAATAGGGAAACCCCGAGGCTGGGAAGAGACACGCAAAAAGACCTCCACACTGAAATTTGCTATTGTCCTGTTAGTTATAATATGCAGACAGATCAAAGGATTTCTTGGTAAATTAAATGGTTCTTTCCTAAGCTTGTGTTTTATAAACATGTATGCAAGATTATAAATTCCATACCTGTGGACTTCTTTAGTGATTAGGTCTTAACTATATAAATACTATTTTATACCATTTTAGTATTCCTTTTTGGCAAATTACATTAAACATTTCCACTTGAACTAAAATTGGTAAATTATTAACTGTGTTAAAGAGTTTTTTTTTTTTTTCCTTTTTGTCTTTTTTCGTGTCTGGCAACGGATCGCAACCCTCAGTGTCGCACCCGTACGGGACCGGGACCGGCAACGGGATCGCAACCCTCGGTGTTGCTCCCACACCTCGCTCAGCCAGTGAGCGGGAACCGGTCTGTATGTGGGATCCGAACCCTCGGCGGGAGCGCCACCGCGCTCCCAAGCGGCGCACTGTAGCAGTGCACCACCGGGCCGGCCCCTAAAGAGTTTTTTAAAAATATTGGGTATTATCCATAATGATTTCACTGTATTTTAAATATTACATGTCATAGTTTTTATGAGTAAGCTTAAATTCTCCTCTCTGATTCTGTTTTTGAGGCTGATTTTGATATTCAGTGAAGTGGGAAAAAAACACACTTGTACAACTTGAATGTATGATACTGACAAATCAACTTGTAAGAAGGTAATAATACATAAACAATATTTTAGAATTTGGAATACTTTTCAAACATAGCAGTAACTAGAACATTTATCGATACTGCACTTCATGGTTTTTGTCACCTTTTAATATAACAGGAGACATTACTTATTGGACCTGACCCCCTTTCCAACATCCCCCCAAATCCTTTTCTGAATCACCGTTCCTGGGGAGAGATGCTTTCATTCTATTCTGATTCTTAGAAAAAAATCACTAGTTTACCTTTAAGATGTTTTATTGACAGTTTCATTCCTATACTTTTCTCTTTTGGTACACGTGAACTTTCTGTTTTTGTTCTATTTTATTTTTGCCTCCCATGAAGACTGAACCTGCTGTATCAGGAGATGTGGAGTGCACATTTCTTGGATTGAGTACTGTGATGTCTGTACAAAGATATTAATGCAATTTAAATGAATCTTTGAAGTGTAGAACAGCTCTCTTCCTGTTGGTATAATTAATATTCTGCTATTTTCATTGTGTCCTTGTATGTTCTCAGTGTCCCAGCTAGGGCCATGACTAGTACACCTAATTTTCTAGTAGTACAGAGAATACATGAAAGGAGCTCGTTGTCAGGCTTACACTCTTTGTTATAATAGCAATAATGTTAATGGAATAATATCCTGGAACCTGATTTATGACAGTTGCTTAAAAATTAACACCTCAGTCTTACCTCTGTACATATTTGTAATAAATGCATTGCTTCACCGTTTGTCTTTCAGCAGTTCACAATTACATGTCATGGGGCATAATTAGGTTGGCAGAGCTGCCTTGCTGACATCTAAATACTTTATTATTTCCCCCTATATTTGAATTTCAAGAATCTCCTGAAAATTATTTCAGAGTGGCTTTCTGTTTAGAGCACAGAAGAAAAAAAAACCCATATGCTATATAGCTCTGCTTCCCAGTTCAACAGTTCACATGTAGCTTCACCCCTGGTCCCACTGGTAAAATTGAGGGGAAATGGCAGCAGTGTGGTGGATGACAGATGACAAATTCTGCTCTGACCTTTCTTCTACTGGTTCTATACCCGATTGTCTTGCTCATTGCTCATTGTTTGTGTATTCATTCATTCATTCATTCTTGTAGTACATTTCTGTCAGGCACAGATTGTGTGCCACGTAGTACTGAAGATGCTGAGCCCACAAAGGTGGACACCAATGACAAGGCCTCTGTCCTTATGGAACGGACATTCTAGTCAGGGAGAAAAACAGGACACATGTGAACAAACAATGATGATGCATGCTCTGAAGAAAATAAAACCAAGTAAGTGACAGAGTGGGAGAATAGATAGCATCCTTAGGGTGGGAGGGAAAGGCTTCTTTAAAGAGTGACTTTTGGGATGAGATTCAAGAATGGAAAGGAGCCAGCCTAGTGACCATCTAATAGAAAAGCAACCCAGGCTGAGGAAATTCCAGTCCAAAGGTCCCAGTTTGGAAGCCCTTGTAATGAGCTGGAGGAGCAGGAAGAAGGCCAGTGAGCTTTTAGATGGCTTTCCTTAGCCACCTCACTTTGAGTGCCGGGAAATGCCATGGTCCCTCAGGGCTTGGGTCATCTGAGCCACCGACATATCCAAATGAGTATGAGTGAGAGAGAGAGCCACCAAGAAATGGCAGAGGTTGAGTTGGTGTCGATCATTCCAGGCAGTTAAGGGTTGTGGGGAGAGATCTGCAACAGAGATCAAATCTTTACTGGGTTTTCTTGGGACCATAGCGGCCATACCATCTCATGACTGGCTGGTGAGTACCTGACTGGCCTAGCAGCTGCTGTCCTGGAGCAGAATTCTCCATTGCTGGAACTGTCAGAGCACCTGGCTCCTAGACTGGCAAGTCTCCCTTCGTAGAGAAAAGAGAATTCTCAGATGACCACGTTTTCTTCCCCTGGTGGCTACTGATTGATTCCTTACAAACTTTTTTGATGCAGTAGGTTACAGGGAGGGAAACTGTTTATATGTTTGCTCATCCTAGTTTTTAAGTTGTTTTTAAGACTGAACAAAAATAGGATTGATAAATAAAGAGCATAGAGAAATAATTATCAATTACGTAAATAGCTTCAATGCACTTGACAGTGGAGAAAAACTATAAAGCTGCCTATTACACATGGCTTATG